AGAAAGTGTAATTGTTACATAGACTAATTTCAAAACAGTACTACTCATTAAAGATTAAGGGAAAGAAAAGGAACATGGGGTTCAGACCTTTTATTCAAATTTTGTCATATTAGCTCCTCATTGGTAATCTTTTTATGGTTCACATTTATTCAGTTCTTCATTCACAGGATTCTGTCAAGGCTCTAATAGGTGCCAAGTACAAGCTTCATTAACTGAGTTATCTTTCAGCTCTGCTCTGTCTGTGGTTACCAAGCCAGTGTTAGTCGATGACATTTTAATGTTAAAAAACAAACAAAAAAAAGCAACACAAAAGCAACTTGATTTCTATTGGTGTTTTTTGCAATCAGATTTCCAATGTTTCATTACATTTGAATACTGACATATTTCATGTTTGACACACTTTGGAGACCCGTTAGAGAAAATGAGGCTTACAGTGGTGTTCATTATGTTCTGAGCTATTTAGACTTCCACAGTGCCAGCCTGGCTTCTAGACATGTTGAACTTTATCTCTGGGATTCTGTTTCGTGGGCACCTGGCGTCTAAAGAGGGCTCCTCTGCTATTGACTGATCTCTTTTGCTGTCCCTTCAAGGCAAAAATCATCCCATAAACTGTGTTGCTTGACTCTGGAGACTATTAGAAATTTGGAAAAGTGGAGGGGAGGTGTTTTAGAAGGTGTTTTTGTTATCTCTCAGTACGTTGTTAGCTTAGCTCATCCTTCTGAATAGCATGTCAGGTTTTTCATTCCAACAACAAGTAGAGAGGGAATGATAAACTCCATGTCTTTTTGGAAACCAAAGAGGGAAACTGCAAGAAAGAAAATGTTGAAGATTATCTCTTTTTGAGTAAGCCAAGATAACTAACAAATAGTCACAGTTAGCCATCTTATCGTTGCTTAAGAAAGGTCCTGGGGAACCTCATACAAGTTGTGCAGAGGCCATGATGTCCTGCTCCTCTATAAAGTCTTCTGAACTCCTGCGGTACTGTTGTCCCGATAAAGGCTTGCTGTTAGATGTAGAAAGCTGTATCTGACTTCCCCTGTATCCCACCTATGTGGTGGGATCTGCAAAAATTCAGTGCTGCCTAAGCAGCTATAAATATACAGCGTTTATATATAATACCTAGCAGGATAACCAGAGCATCTTCCCACTGTATAAGGTACACGCACATATGGGATGTGAGAGAGCCACTGGAGCCAGCATTAAGGTTCTCGTTCCTGTGGGGAAATGTAACCATACACTTTATATCACTCAAAGATTGTGGAACAAGTTACAAAGAGCATGTTCAAATAAGGGGACAGTTGCAATTTTAGGAAATCAAGAAAGAATTTGCTTTGTGGGCTTCCCTTATCCTTCACAAATCCCATAGGATCTTTGGTGACCGCAGAGGGTAAGAACCTCAGTAGCTTTGTCACATCAAGAAAATCCTGCACAGCTGCAGTAATTTTCAGCGGGAAGATTTCATAGCTTGTGCTTTCATCTACACCTTTTTTCTAATGTTCCTTAACTTGAGAAGAAGAAAAAAAAAAGATAGTAAGGCAAGGGAAATAGTTGCTAATCCTAGGCAAGGTATATTAAATTCAGTAATGCTCAGACATGACATAAGTGTTCAGGATTTGTATATGAATAAAATTAAAAATATTGTGGGAGGAAAAGCTACCTAAATGTCAGAAAAAGAAATACAAGCTATAAAATCCTGTGAAAAATCACATAGACCAGAGTAAGATAGATGTGCTGTCTTTACTTAGCAAAGAAATCACAGAGGGTATGCAAATAGAGAATGAAAATGACACAGTTTTACTTGATTCGAAAGCATTATCCATAATAGCATCTGCAATGTGTCGGCAATAATAGGGTGTAAATTGGAATTTACATAACAGATCTTTGGAAACAGGCTCTGACTCACAGTCTGAAAATGGTGTCTCCAGTAGGGCAAGAC